CTCCAGCTGCATATCCTATGACACCCCAGTCTAAAGGCCCATAGTTTGGGAGGTAACCCAGCTATTGAAAAACATGCCAGCTCTTGAGTTAACAATAGCACTTGTTTCAAGGACAAGGATAACATTAAAAAGTTACTTTCTGAAAGGTACGCTGGTTCAACAAGAGCAAGTTAAGACTTTCATCTGTGGTAGCATGAGCCTTAGGCATCACTAACTATACTAGAGGGACAGCCCAGGAAAACTAGAACTCTAGGACCTTTTTTCCCCTCTCCAGAACAGGAGTAGTGAAGTCATTTGATTCAACATTATATTGTCAGCTTCTGCATCAACTGGCTATTGAAGTGATAAGAAGACTTCCAAGTTTTACCAGTGCCATGTTTTGCACATTAACAAAAGTGAGCTTGAGTGACACTGCCATTGTTTGTGAAAGATCCTCGGCCAGTAGCTGCCCTTCAGGGTTTTCTCTGACACGGGAACTAGCCATTCTCTTCTGCTGATGCAGCTGATACTCCTAAAGAGGGTGGACATAGCTTAGTCAATCGCCTCAGCTGTGAACATTCCACCTTGGGTGACCCTACCAGGAGTCCAGGCTCCTAACAGAATATAGCCTCCTGACAGCTTTGTTCTCAGCTTCTCTGACATGCGCAACCCCCCTCACTCTGTTAAGAGTCGTTAGCAAGTCAGCAAATGAGCAAAACTAAAGAAGAAGATGCTGACTGCCTCTTTCTTTTCCTTTGTAGGAATCCCATCGTCATGCTCATGGTTCCCAAAGGTGAAAGCCAATTGTGAAATAATATTTATTTCTAATTAAAAGCTAAATATTGTATTTCAGCTGGCCAAATAACTTTTTAAAAGAACACAGTACATTTTACAAGGCGAATCTGTATAATCACATGTAAACGCTACTAGTGAATGGAGATTAAGCATAGGATTATGGTTAAACGCTGTAATCTAATAGTATTTTAGTTTCTTAGTTTTGCACACCTGTGCTTTCCAATTGTTTTTAATTACAGTTCTGAGTATAAATAATAGAGGGGAAAGTATGTGCTCTATTTGTCAGTTCTTTCCTGAGAACATCACTATCAATTTGTGCCTTGGGGGCACAAGTACAAGGGCTGCCATGATGGACTTCCGCACTTCAAAATGTACCACTACACCACTGGGAATCCATATCCAATAACGGTAAGGAAAAAGCAATATTGGGAGAGACACCCTGTCACGGAGAGATGCACAGAAGAAAAAGGAAACTAGCTCTCTCAATTACAAATTCTGGGAGCTCATGTTCTGAGGAGAGAGGCTCCTCACTCTTATCGTTTATGGTACCCTTCTGGGGTGATGATCTGACTATGATTATAGTAGAACAAAGTGTTTATTGAATGGGATAGAATGAGGGTTATCGTCATATGGATTCTCTCTCAATCTGTTCAGACAAATCTTACATAAAAAATCATAAATTATGACTATGTTAATCCCAGGCTATAGATAATGAGCAGGAACAACTTGGTAATGAGTGTCTCTAATCACCAATGGGGCTTGTGAGGCAGCACTGGTTAGTTACAAAGGAAAAATAGCTGGGAATAAAGGAGATACAACAAAATCTTTTAAACTGGATAGTGGCCTAAGAAACCTCGGCTTATATTGAGATCACTGGGTTTTAAACACATGTATATACAGTATTTTTTATCCCAATATGGTTAAGATGTCCATCTTGCTGTTTCACAGTGGTGTCCAAAAATGTACCTACTGTGTGGATTGTGCCAGGTTGTGGCTGATGTTTAGATGAAAGTTACTGAATTCCCAGTGGAATTTTTTTAGCACCAGATTGTACTGGAAACCCACCAATCAATATACCTACTGCATGCTTCCAGCTTCCATTCTGAACATAAGACAAAATCAATTTTTTCACAGCCAAGCTCTCAGATACAATCACATCTGCTCAGACCCCAAAGACTCCAAACTCAAGGATCGACAAAATGCATTTCTCAGACTACAATATCCATCCAATGTGGTTAAGGAACACATTAACTGGGCAAAATAAATACCCAGAACTGACCTACTACAGGACAGACCCAGAAAATAAAATAACCAAACTCCACCAGTTGTCACTTTTAGTCCACAACTGAGACCACTCACATGCCTCGTAAGTTATCTCCAACCCATCCTTGACAAGAAGACGTCACTCTCCCAAGCCCTTGGAGGCAGACCTATACTTGCTTTCAGACAATGTCCCGATCTCAAGCAACTACTGACACACAATAGATTGCAGGACACTGACACAGAGTTGGTGACTAAACTGTGCTACAAACCCAGATGCCAGCTCTGCCTCCACATTTATGGTGGCAACTCGATTACAGGACCTAACAATGTTACACACAACATGAAGGGTACTTTTGCTTGTTCAATGTTATCTATGCCATCTTTTGCCAACAATAGCCCTCTGCACTCTACAGGACACTTTCTGTGCAGAAGAATTAGGTAAACGTTCCCCATGACATTTAGTCCAGTCGTGTCTGAATCTAGGGCATAGTGCTCGTCCCCGTTTCCAAGCCATAGAGCCAGCGTTTGTCCGAAGACAGTTTCCGTGGTCACATGGCCAGTGTGACTAGACACGGAATGGCGTTACCTTCCCACTGAGGTGGTACCTATTTATCTACTTGCATTTAAATGCTTTTGAACTGCTAGGTTGGCAGGAGCTGGGACAAGTGATGGGAGCTCACTGTTATGTGGAATCGATCTTACGACTGCTTGGTCTTCTGACCCTGCAGCACAGAGCCTTCTGCGGTTCAACCCGCAGCGCCACCATGTCCCACGCAAAAGAATTAATGGACACAAATTGGACATGAAGAATGACAATATACAGAAACCTGTTTCTAATTATTTTTAATTTATTTGGATACTCAGCAGAAGATCTCAAAGTTGCCATTCTGGAGAAGAAAAATTACAGGACAAGAATCCAGAGAGAAAAACAGAGAGCTTAAATGTGAGTTTTTGTGGATCAAGTCCACTTGAGAGAGAGCTTAAATGTGAGCTTTTGTGGATCAAGTCCACTTCCTCAGACAATATCTACTCCCATCTAACTACAATCAAAGTCCCATCTAACTACAGTCAGGCACTCGTCAATGTCTAAATAAAATTTACATACAGGGTGGCCTTCCTATCAAAGGAGCTAATTTTATATATAAAATAAATCTTGGAGAGAATCACCTAATACCTTGGAGCCAGTAAAATAAAAATTATTTGGGTCACCAAACTCTTACTGGATCATTGTGTGGGTTCTGCACGCTCCACTGCGACTGCCACCCATTGTCATTTCGATGTCTCTGCATTTAGTGGCCAACGGTAATTAGCTCGATTATAGGCAAAGGGTAGAGAAAGCACTGCTTTTCACATCACAGTACAGTTGCAAACTCCCGTCTTTCTCCAGACACGACTCCTGCTGAATTTTATGACAGGATCTCTGTAAGGAAGAAATCGCCTTGTGAGCCAGCTCCTCATATCTAAGAAAGAAATGTGTTAAGCCCACTTTTTCGTTCACCCCACCGCCGGCTTCATTGTCTTTTGTACGCTCCCCACCACCACCACCACCACAAGACAACCAAGACAAATGAAGACTTCATGACTATCATCACGGCAGGACATCTGCGAAGGAACAGGAGAAGAGGCACAGAGAGCCAGCGAGCGAGATCGGAGACGCTGGCAACCAGCTTGCGTCATTCTGGGACAGAAGGATTCGAAAAAGAAGTGGCAGAAGTGGTAGTGCCACCCTTAGGCAACGAAGCTCGAGCAATGGCACGGAGGAAGGTCCCCGCGGAGCCCTTGTGCGAGCGCAGGTGAAAGGGAAAAGACGGCGCGGGGCCCCGGCGGTGAGAAAGGGGGGTGCGTGGCCCCGCTCGATTTGGCGACGTGCCCTCTCTCGGTCAGTCTTGAACCGCGTTGCCGGTGCCAGAAGCCGGGGTGTCTCGGCTGGCGCCGAAGCTGTCCCCATCAGCCCCGGATGAGGCGGGATGAGGGGCAAGTAGCACTCTCCGCCTGCCCAAGGAGGGCTCTTTTCTCCCGGCTCCCCGCGTCCCCAGGCACCGCTCTTGTTGGCAACCGGAACGAGCGGGCAGAGGAACCCTCCCCAGCTGGCACCTTGGGTGGGATCTTTCTCCGCGATCTTTCCAGGGAAGAGGTGCTGGAATTCAACCTGTTTGCAAGGCTTGGAAGTTTTTTTTTAAAACGCAACCGAGCAGGGGAGCTTCTCGGTTAGTCGGCCAGGCGCGATGCATGCGCTCAGAGGGGCGGCCGGGATAACGATGCTGGAAACATCCCGAGGTGATGCCAGCTAAGTGGCGGCGACGGGCATCTTGGCGCCGACCAGCCTTAAGAAGCTCCGGGGTTGGCCGGCTCTCTTCTCCCCTTCCCGTCCCATATGGCACAGGGCGGGCAGGCGGGTGAGGAGGAGGCAGGCAGGCAGGCAGGCCCCCGGCGGCGAAGGGAGAAGGAAGGGGCCCAGGACACACGAAGAAGGCGGGTTTGGAGCAGCCTGTTGCCCCCGCGCGGGGCGGGAAGGAGAGGCGGGAAAGAGGGGAGCGGGAGCGCGCGCTCCTCCGCGTTCCCCTCCTCCCCCCCCTCAACGTGCCACGCGTTTGGCACCGACGGGAACTGACAAGCTGTGAGGGGGTGCGTGGCGGGGGTTTGACTTAAGCCCCAGCCCAGCCCAGGCTCCCCTCCTCGGCGTGGCCCCCGGCTCCTTTCCTCGTCTTTTGGCGGGTGCCCGGCTTTCTCGTTCGCTCTCCTTGGCCG